AAAGAATAAATAAGAAAAAAGAAAATATATGAAACTTGCAATTTATAAATATTAAATAGTTATAATTATAAGTCTATATTAAGCTTTTTAAAAATTTATTTTTTTTTTTATTTTTTTTTTTTAACCTTTGGCAGCCATAATGGTCAACCAGTCAGAAGTTTATTTATAACTGTTTAGTACAGACAATATACAAATAGAACTATATCTAACTTCATGTGCCATCATCACGCAGTTATTCCAATTGGCACCTATGAGTGACCTGCCACACCAGATCTGCTAAAGTCTGAATCGAGCTTGTCTGTCTGCTGCCTTATAATTGTACAGCACCAATCTGATATCATTTGTTCGTAGAGAAATAAAAAACCAAAAAAAATTTTCTTGTTGAAAGAGATTGCACTAAAAAAAAATATGTATAGAGAAGAAACATAAAAAAAAAACAAATATCAAGAAATAAAAGAGAAGGAGATTGCTGACGAAGGCCAGACAAACAGTCACTAATTATAAAGGCTGTGTCAGCCTATTAAAAATTATATATTACTAAATACAGTAATCTCTATTTTAACTCTATCTAATTAACATATTTAATACTAAAGCTTATATCCTAAGAAAAACAATTCAAACAAAACTGAACTGGCAAAGAATTTTCCATGTGTCAAATACTCTGACTCCTTGTCACTGGATTCATTTTTATATATAACTTATTGTACTTTTCACTAGATCTTACATTTTGAGACTTGTCATATTTTCGACCAATCATCTCATCTTTGCTGAAAATCTCCAATCTTGTCTCACTGTTATGTTTTTCCAAGACACATGTACTCGTGCTTTATCTGCAATATGGGCCCTTTCTGAATAGAACTGATAAACAATCCCAATTTGGAAGGATTAATAATGCTGATTTTGATGGAAGTAAACTAGATTATCTACATTTCGATAAAAATTTCTTGGAAAAAAGTGGGAAAGGAATTTTTATAACACTAACTGTAATGAGTGTAAAAGTTTACATTATATAGAATAATATATTCAACTAAGCTTTTATCTTTGCTACTGCTCAGATATAGCTTGACAAAACTTTCTTGGCTGTAGCTAAAGTTACTTTTTCAATAACTCCATAGACTTCTACCAGAGAGCCAAACCCACAAGAAGCTGTTTTTTTCAACTCTTTTTCATATAACCTATATGCAATCTGAAACTCTTGAACCCAAATACTATACAGCAAAGTTTTATTATATATAAACATACTAACTATATAATTTTTATAAGTCAGTATATATAGAAAAATTGGTGCAGAGAATCATCAGAAAGAGTTTATAATTAAGCTTTTTAAAAATTATAAACTATACTAAATAGAAATAATTTTATTATTTTTCTATTAACTTAGATTATTTAACAAAAAACTATATAGAAAAAAAACTTCAACTTGATCATAGAAGGTTATATAAGGTACTGTTAGTCTGAAGATAATATTAATAAGTTTCTAATAATTTGAGACATGTGTATAGTTATGTTTGTATTATTGTAATATTTTTAATCTATATTATTAACAAAACTGTTTAAAAATAAACATTGCTAACTATTTTGGTGATTTTATATATTGATCTTTAGAAAAAGATAAACTGAATTACCTACTTTTTATAAAATTTTCTTTAAAAAAAAGTAAAATGAAAGGTGAACCAACTTTGTAATTTTTATAAGTTCTTAACCTTATTAGATGTTTCTTATAGGTTTTATAATTATATAGAAATAATATATTCAATTTTATTATTTACTTAATAAAAAATCTTGACTTTTACTAACTACTTCTTTTATAGTCTTAGAATGCTTTTAAATTATTACCATAAAGCTGCAACTTCTTTTTTAATTCTATTTCAATATCCAATCATATGTATATAGTATTCTAAAAAGGTTTTTATAAAGTTTAATATATTAACTATATTATTTTTCTATGGTTCAACTTTTTGAAAAGTTTAGTTCAAATGATCATCAGAAAGAGTTTTTAATATTATTAATTTTTTTTATTTTATTTAATTTTTTTTTTTATTAAACTAAACTTTTTAAGATTAAGATTTTTATTTAATATTATAAGATATAAGAACTTATAACCAAACCTCAATAGAATTATTTTTATATTAAAGAGTACAACTAATCATATATATACTTTTGATATCTAATTTAAGTATTCTGCTGATAATTCTATACTAATTATCATACTTGCAATCCAACTATAGGCATTTTCTGTTTAAACTTTCTGTATACTGCAACTTCTACTATATTATTAAAACATCTTTAATATATATGTCAGTTAAAAAGTTCTAGATGCTTACTTATACCCTTAGAACGCCTATCTTGTTTTATGCAGTTCATCCTCAAAACATCATTACTAGAGCCTTTCATGTTTCACACACAGCTGATCTAGTAAGATGCTATAGCCAGGCTAATAACGTAATTACCTCTGACGCAGGTTTCACCCTGTCATAAATTCGGATTTTCGGATTTATATTCAATCCGGATATATGTTATTCAAAAATTGGATTAACCCGAATATAAATATTACACCGTATAAAATTAAATGCTTCTATTGTAATATAATCCAAAAAACAAATTATTAAGGTGAATCAGAAGTGGATTTGTACCAATTTTCTGAAAAATTTGTCTGAAACAACCTACAGATTAAAAGGATAATTTCGAATTGGATTAGGAAAGTACAAATAATATCAATCCTCAAAGTCAATTATCGGATGCTACTAATTTTTTTCATGATAATCTATGAGCATAGCATTAATACGAACGGTGAACGAATGCGAGGCAGAACACTAGGAATAACTAACGGAAACAATCATTGGCAATATTAATGTTTAATTAATGCTATGGGAACAAAGAATGAAGATGAGACACAAATAATATAAGACGATGCATGTTGGAGAAAAGATTATTAAAAAGTAATTGGTGATTTGTGAAATGAACCAATGAATTAATTCGGGGAAGATATAATAATAGACAGCATGAGTAGTGATGGACGTTCATAATTACCGTTTTAATTACGAATTACTGTTAATAATATTTTTTAATTATTTAATACGTATCGGTATCGATATTATTATAAAATTTAAATGTTGCAGTTTTTTTTAAAAAAAAATTGTATCATTTAAAAACTAATAATTTGTTTACACTACGTATTACCGTTAATTGAATACTTATTTATCGGCATATTTTAATCAATTATTTGAAATGTAAATTATTAATCTGCATATTTTAATTGTGCATTATCGTTATAGGAATTTAATACCAACAATTAGTGTATTATTGATCGCCAATTAAACATTTTCTATCGCTATACTTTCTGGATTAATTTAACAATTCGCTACGTACTATATAGTATATATATATATATTTAACAATTAACCAAATTGTAATAAATGAAGGGCAGGACTTGTAAACATAAATCAAGTGTCATTTATGTATGCATAAGTATGTAAACACAGAGATTAAATATTTATATGGTAGTTAGTGGTACTATTCAGAGACAATGGATATCGTTCCTGTTTGGTCAAAAGACAATGCCAAAATTGATGATTGATTATCATGTTATGTGAGTGATGTTATTTTATACACGTGAAGTTTGCCACACCATTATTGCTTTGAAAATATGCATATAATTAAAAGCTTCATACTAATTACATGATTTCATGTTAATGGAATCCAATATTGCATTCATATGGTACATTTAATTAACAATAGGACTGAATGATGAAGCCAAACTACGACTCAATCATTCGTGTTATAGTACTTAACATGATAGATTACACTAATGTTTTGCGAACATGAATTGCATCTATAGGATTACATAAATTAGCATAAGAGAAAAATCAAATTATGTAATAAGATTTTAAATGTTAACCTCCTAATGCTATAAATCTTCTGGCTTTACAAGATTCTGTTCACCATTCTCTATAATACTTTCTTTATCAACATCTCTTGATAACGGTTTCCTCATATCTTGAGAAATAATTTATAGGACGAATTTAAAACACGTACTAAGTTACATAAAAGAAAGATATACACATTATGCATATTATAAAATGAACATACCAAAAGCATCCTCTTCATTATTATCACCAGAAGAATAATAACCGACAACACGTCTGAACACAGAATATCCAAATTTCTTATACATGCCAATTGCCACAGTGTTCGATACACGGACAAATAGATCGACAAAATAACCATTATAACTTTTATTTAGAATATAAAAAACTTTGTTTATAAAATGCGCGCAAAAATATGCATGAATTAAAGCGAAATAAATAAGGTACTAACATTTTATCTGATACGTTCTCCAATAACTTCATCATTCCATCCGCCAACCCTATGCGTCGATACTCGGAAGCAACTGTTATAGCTGTCACATGGCCATGCCATTCTTTACCTCGTCCTTCAGCCTTGCCCATGACTTAAGATAAAATAAGATATTTAAATGGACTGGACTTTTAATAATAAATTAATGTAAGCATACTCAACTGTATCCCATCATGGCCCCGTTCGGCGATTCTTGCACACAGAAAAGGTCCGGCCACCTCGCCAGATAAGACAGATAGAATGAAATGTTATACTATCATAATTGGTCAAATTATGCGAGAATTATAGAAGTGTAAGTTTAAAGTAAATTTTATATGAAAAAATAAGGCAATTTTACCGTTTCAGTCAAGAAATCAAGGTTTCTGTAAGCAAAAGTATATATATATATATATCATTTCTTATTAAGGATGAGCAATCCCATAGAATACTTGTTCACTTACACATTGTTAAATTTAAATAGATCCGTTGCTTTAAATCTTCTCACAGCACTCATTGGGACTTTAAATATCACAAGATTGTCGTCGACTAGACGGAATTAAAATATTTAATGTGACACTGCACTAAGGTTACACGATATTTAATCGATATTTCCATACCAATCAGTATGAAAAAATAAACGTTTTTTTTCATTTTTGTTAATTACGATGGCAGAACTTCAACAAACACCATTAGAAAATTCAGTAGTCACTTCTTCAAAGGCTGAGCAACCTGTGGCTGAACAACCTGTGATGGTTAACCAACATTCATTAATACAAGCTTTGACTTATCTTCGTTCCGAGCTAGAAAAAGTACAAAATGAAAAGAACGACTTGGTAAAAGAACGTATTACTTTGTTAGAACAGTTAGAATTTGAAAGGAATAAAAGTAATAGTTCTAGAACTAGTGTAGATACCACAATAGACACTCAAGAGGACTCTGCTAGTCTACAGAGTAACAATGACCACGAAAAAGTGGTTGCAGAATTACGTTCTCAAATTGAACAGTTTGAAGACGAGAAAAAAGATTTAATCGTACAAGAGCAGGAACTATCAGATTTAAAGGCTAAGCTTGAGCAGGTACAGGATGAAAAGAAACAACTGGAGATACAACATCAGAGTTTGATTGCAAAGCTGGCTAATTTCAAGACTTCTATTGCCGACAAATTAAAAACAGACATGGTAATGTTTTAAAATTTTTTTTTATTAAAATTTGTTTTTTAATTCTAATCCTTTTATTTCATTTACTTTAGGAGGATTTAAATCAGAAAAAACAAGAAATAGATAAACTTAATAGAAATAATCAAGAACTCTTAAATACAATTTCTCAATTACAATCAGAACTTTCATTATCTCGCAATGAGCATGATAACATGACACAACGTTTGCAAACACTAGAAACGCATCTTTACGAAGTACAGCACCAAACATCACAGGAATTATCCGAAAAAGATAATATAATTAGGGATTTACAAATAAATTTAGATCGTTCTGAAAGAGAAAGAGAAGATGCAGATGTATCTGCAATGGAATTAAAGAGTGCCAAAGATGAGTTACTTGCTCGTATAAAACATTTAGAAAGGGAAATTGAAGCGTTGAAATATGAGAAGGAAGTTCTAAAGGTGGAAAAGAACAATGAATCCGAGAGTTTGGCTAATTTACAGAGCGTCTTGGAAGAGTTTGAAGCAGGTAAAGATATATTGAAATAAAAAAATTTTTTTCTCAATGCTGACACTTTAAAAATTTGGATAAGCTAAACAATCTGAAATTCGAGAGGCTATCGAAGGAATACAACGACGACTTTCTACAACAAGTAAAGAGCTGACAGAGTTTAAAGAGCGTGCGTTATTAGCCGAGGTTTGTTATGATTTTTTAATGCGCGTAAAATTTTTAGGTGAAACTAAATCAAACTCACGTTGTACATGTATATATTAATGCATACACACATATGTGTATATATATATATATATTGACATATTTACAGAACCAATTGGCACAAATTAAAGAAGGAATTGGTCGTACGGCGCAATATGAAAAGGAGATTAAAGAAAAGAATTTGTTGATTGGAAAACTACGTCATGAAGGTCAGTATTGGTACATTTTCAATTTATTTTATTTCATATAACTAATTATAGAATTTTTAAATTAAATTTTAAATTAAAATTTTTAAATTATTTAGCCGTAATATTAAATGAACATTTAACCGAGGCTCTTCGTCGCATGAGAGAAGAAAGCAGTGAAAATAATGTGGATAAGTTAGTTATTATAATTTAATTTGATTCCTGATTGTTAATTATTTGTTGACCAAAACATTGCTAACATGACCTACATAATGTTGTGATTTTTAGGCGTCTAATTACAAATCTTTTAATAGCTTTCTTTAATACTCCTCGTGGAGATAGTAAGCGTTTTGAGATATTACAATTAATGGCAAATATGTTACAATGGAGTGAGGAACAAAAAGAACAAGTTGGGCTAATCAGAAAAGCATCATCTAAAACACTGGATGAACGGTCGGGTGGTTGGGGTTCAGGCTTATGGACTCCAACTATTGAGAGGCCACGAAACAGGTTATCTGAAGATATTCCAAGAACAATAGTCAGAATGAATGACGAACCGCCATCAAAAGAGGTTGGTATTATTATCTACATATGTAAACGATTAATTTAAATTAATATATGTTATTATGTCTCGTTTTTCACTAGTCATTTTCAGATATGTGGATATCATTTTTACTTAGAGAAGCTAGCAAGGACAGTTCTGAGCCAAACGCTAACAGCAGCTCTGTTTCTACGCAAAGCGAATAGATGTTTATTTTTTTCATTACAACTCATTTAATGTATTATAGTAGTAATTTGTTTAGTTTTACTTATGTATTATTGTATTTAGACAAATCATTTTCTTTTTTGCTGCATTATTTTAATTATAGATATTGGTCATAATAATAACGTGAAACCAATTTAATTGGGTTTCAAATTGTGAATATCAAAATTTAATAACACCTTATAATATTTTATAACATCATATATAATTTTTATGAACAAAAAAGAAATATATGATTTGGGATTTATTAATTCAAAGAAAATGCAATTAATAATTATGAACGTGACGTAATAACAACTGAGGCCTGTGATTAATAAAAGATTCTAATTTTGTAAATCATTTTATAATTTGTTTTTTAGTTTTCAGAAAAAGATTGAACCACTATTTTCAGTGGAACTTTATGCTCAATTTCACGAAACATCACAAAACAGGTATAATTTCCTGAATTTTGAATCATATTCGAAATATCTTGCTGGAATTCAATGTCACTAATGTTTATGGATAAATTGAGTGATTCCTTAATTTGATCGATAATATCTTCACGAGTTACCGGATTTTTTAGGATCGAAGGATCATTAGGATCATTTGCTGACTCACGTTGAAAAATTAAATGATGTGAATGATTCAACTTTGAAAGTGTTTTTTGTAATTCATGAAAATATTGCATAACGTATCGATCATCAGATTCACGTAATTTTTTGCCCTTAAAGAAAAAAATTTGTAAATAAAAGAAAATTTTTTAAAGTGGAAAATTATAAATTAATAAAAAAAAAGACATTACAGATTTATAAGGTTGACCATATAATGCTAGGGTAATTTGTCCACCTTTGACGAGAAGATGTATTTGTTTTTTGCCATCTTCAGAATTATTTTCTTTGGGCCCTCTAGGTATATAGTAATTGGCAATTCGATTAGGATATAACCTGTGCCTCATATATCCTTAATTATAAATCCAATGAATAATACATTTAATAACTTTTTTTCATTTTTTTGGGAAAAATGTCTGGCATTTATTCTTTTGTACCTGGAGAAACCTTTACAATGTCACCTATGCTCATAAAGATATAATAAAATAATAAATAATAATACATTCAGTTTATAATGATACCACTAAAAGTTCTTTAAACCTTTATTTCCAAGTGACGAAAGCGGTTGGATTAATTGTACAGCTATTTTTCTTTTTCTAGCGTTCCTACTAAAGAAAGATAGTTCCAAAACTTTTCTAAATAATTTTGGTGGTTTATCATTATTTAATTGTATAATTTTTAAAGTTGTAAGGATTCTGCTCGAAAGTAATATTGACATTTAAGCACAAAAAAAAGGTTGTTTTTCAATTACAGAATTAACGTTATATATATGATAATCTATTTGATAACAATAAATGCCACCATGCCACCGTAATTTATTTCGAGTGACGTAGACTTGCATTGTGCAATTATTTACTATTTCACTAACCATGATAGTTTTTTTTTTGACTTTATACTTTTATTATGTACTGATAAATACTTGTTCAGTGTTCTTTTCACCATCTCTCCTCTTTAAATGGACAACGTTGTTGGCCAGGAAAATATTCGAAACAATGTGGCAGAAGAAGAGGTAATTTCATATAAAAATGAACAAAAGGATGCGGGGGAGAGGAAGGAAGTCGTTGAAGGAGAGGATTCAGTACCTGATAATACGATCTCATCGACAGCGACGCAAAAGGACGTTGCTGTAGGTGACAAAAGTAACACAAAGGATACTTCAGCAATTGTAGCTAATGTACCGATAGACATACCCACTTCACCAAAAAACAGCATAGACACCTTTCAATCACTCCCAACCTCACCATCTGACCCTTATAAAACAGCACCACCTGAGACATTAACATCGACAATAAATACATCTAAAATAATAGTACCAAAACGGATTGTTCGAATAGAAAGAGATTATTCTCGTGGAGAGGTCTGTCAATTCCGTACAACATTTCCAATAGAAATTGAAGGACGGGTAATGTTTTTTATAAATTTTAGAAATGATATATTTTTGGAAATTGTATATGTTTAGTTTTTTTTTTTTTGAAGGGAGACTAACGCGATTAATTCGAATTCTTTATTCACCATCTTGATCATTATAGATAACTCCAATACAATTTAGACAAACAATTAATAGATTAAATGAGCTCTTGGTAAAAGCTTTCAATCCAAGGAGCAATTGGTATGATAACTGTCTCGCCTGCGTAACAATATATACATCAACTTTATGTACACGATCACATTACGAGAAGGTAAATATGAAAAGAGAGAAATTAGGAAAAGATTATATACTAATTCAGATGTATTCTTACATAGATTGTTGAAGAAATATGTATATTTTTAGATAATGAAAACCAGAACTTATACAATATAAATGGACTTAATTTCCGGGATCCACGAAAAATTTCCTTTTTATTTGTATCCATTTTTTTCTGAAAATTTTTAATTCTTAAAAATCAATCAATATTTGATATCGTATTATTTCTTAACATAATGATATTATTATTGTGTTTGCCTTACAGCTCGAACTTGAATTATACTAAATACAAATTTTCCCCTGTAGCATCTCCTTCATAATTATTATTATTTTTGTATGTCAATAATGTAAATTAAATAAATTAAGTAAACTTACGTATTAATATAATTCAAATCTGAATTTTAGTCTTATTTTTAAGTGAAAGTGAAAAGCGCCTTTATTACAAAGAAATGTAGGTGGTGAGAAATAATTATGAAAATGATTATGTAATCCAAAATTAAAAGCAATTAATATCTTAAATTATAAAATTACGAATGTTATTGTTTCCAATTGTACATATGTTTCAAGGAACATCCGTAAAGTGCTGACTAATATATCTGGTATTTCAAAGACTAAAGATGTAAGATGTACCCGAAATATATTTACTTACCAGCCTTCGAAGTTTTATACGACATAGTATGAATACTATTCGGATATAAATTAATTTTTAGTTTTCCAAATCGTTCAGGTACAACTCGTGGGGGAATACAAGTCAGCACTTTACAGTTAGTTATTTGGAAAATCACATGTTTACAAATACAATAAGGAAATATATGTAAGTAAATGAAGATGCGTTATGTAGTATATATATAACTTTAATTACATTTCTCCTACTTGCGTGTTGTATCAGTTAGACTATTTTCGATCATAGCTATGCCCAATCAAGCACACATGACAAATAAAAGTTTGAAACTTTGATATAGGAAGTCGTACCAATAAATCACGTTTTAAAGAATAATGACAAAGTATTACGAAGACGGATAAATTCGAAACGATTATAGAGAAATGGCGGTATCGTTTCATGCACACATTTGGTATATAGCAAAGGTAAAATAATCCTAGAATGTTCTTCTAAGGATAAAAATTTTAGGCAATAAATAAAACCGAGATTCTAAGTGTCATCATATACGATAGTGTGACCTTTAATTGCTCCGGTGCAGCTAGTACTTACGTAAATACATTATTACCAAATACTTGGAAATTCTCTCCAACTTGATTTGCATTGTTTGTTAAATGACACTTTTCAGCCTTTTCAGTCGATCGATAGGGAACCAAAAAAAAGAAAAATTAGAGCATGAATAATAATATTATAATACGAAAAGTATCACCAAATATAATTAGTGTTAAATATCGCATAGTAAAATGTAAGCAAACATTGTAATATAATAAAACACAAGCATTACAGTTATTATCAGTATAATTAGAATCATCAATATATCGATATATATATATATATACATAAATATATATATATATAATGTATATCGAATCTAAAATTATACTAACAACATATTTTGGTGTTACCTTCCACATTATTTATTTACATTCTGCAGACCTTAATTAGGATTTTTGTTTAAAGGTATATATCCGTTCCGTAAAAAAAAAATATATATGTAAATATAGATAATTATTATGTGTTTATATATATATTTGCATATATAGTCCTTATATGATTATAACTAATTTTCACCCTAGGTGATATCACCCGGTATGATAAAATTTTTATTATAAGTAAATAAATTTAATGTTAGTGGTTAGGGTTAGCTTTAGGTTAGATTAAAAGAGTTTAGCATATGTAAAATTTGACGCTGAAAAGTTTTGCTTAGAAGTCGAAACATGTTTTTTATAATAAAGTCTTGAGTTATTTGAAATTTTGTTTTTTTGTCTTTGTTTTGGCTACACAATATCCGGCGATCTGATTGGTTTTTATACAACCAGGTGATATCACCTAGGGTGAAAATTAGCAATAGTCTTAGATTTATACATATATATATTTTTTCTGTATTACATTTTTTTTATTTTTTTTTTACATGAGAAACGCCACGTGGATAAAATTAAAACTTTAATCTGGTGAAGAGGAAGGGGGATAGGATCAAAAAGGAGGCTAAGAGATCTAAATTTGTTACTTCCGTGATCCCATTTTGTGGGTGTCTATAGTATGCGCCCCGAAACGGTACTACATGCGACAAAATGCGAGGGGTAATCTGACTGATCAAAACGCATATATCATTCATAAAAAAACTTGCTCATTTGTATATCATATATAGTGTAGTTCATTTCCATCCGTACACCAATTGAAATGTTGGGTTTATATAGCTCGATGAATGCTGACCACCGAAATTAAATACGTATCATAAATTAATCATAAGGTCAGAAAAATGAGAGTGATGGTGTCATGTGAGGTTTGTAGCCTTTTTCAGAGAACAAATCATGTTTCAAGTTCAGAGGCTGCGGACTTTTTGACGCGACAAGTTTCAGATGATTGTTTTATATAAATAGCGGGAGATTGTCGTCCGGTTCATATAAAAAAAAAGAAACACACCAATCAAAAATAATCGATTTCCTTTTCGCCAATCATAATTCAATGAAGAGCATCCCGCATAAAACCATCACCAATCTTATTTCGTAATATTTAACAAATGTATTTATCGAGTCATACCACCTTATTTTTTTTGAAATTTTTGTATCCTTTTATCTTTTGGTAGTAGTGCACAGATAAATAATCCAAATTTATTCCTATTTTTGCTAAAGAATAGTCGATCTTACTATTCAGGTAACAAGATTTGTAACGCCATAGTTTGACCACAGATTTACGATTTCAATTTAGTGTTAGTTTAGGTTCAAGATCCACATTCTTTAGCCAAGGTTGTTAAAGGATAAAGAAAGGCAAATTTTCTGTATTTGATCGGCTAGGTAAATTTCATGCAGTGTCATTTCTTTGATTTTTTGGAGGGATATGCAAGTAGACGTTTTAGTTTAATATTTACATGATTCGGCCGTGACCGACTTTGTCATTTTACCACAGCCCCAAAACTATTAAAGAAAAAAAAGAAAAAAAAAAAAAAAAATTTATAGAAAAAAAAAGCTTTTCTAGATCAGAGTTTTTGGTACGCAAGTTTAGCCTGTCAATTATTATTAATTTGTTATTCTACTTTTTGACTGCATAATTATTAAAGTACACCGGAGGTTCGGAACTGTTCACAATATATATACGCATTGCATTAAATCGTCATCGAATCCATCTGGTTGGTGTTAAGTGGGAATAATTTGTACTACAATTAATGCGGCTATTTTTTATATATAAAAATGTCAGAAACTAATCCCCTAGGGCAGAGAAAAACCTTGAAGTGAAAAGAATTTTTCTCAATAAATTCTCTGAGGTCTTCTCTCATAATCTGCTTTTTATTCTTGCTCGTGAGAAGGATCTAAAAAGTTGCTCTTCAAAAAAAATAAAAAAAAAGATCTATTAAATCTTTTTGTGCTTATAATGGAAAATCAAGCTCTTTATTCTTTACAACCGCACTTCGTTCAACAATCTTCATCTCAAATCGATAACACTAATATTGGTTTATATGATATAAATGCTGTTAACGTTGGTCAAACGAACAATAATAGAATGTTGTGCCCTCCTGTCTATGATAATCATGTCATCATGGTAAATATTTGTCAAGTTTTATTTTTATTATTATTATTATTATTATTTATTAACTTTTTTTATTTTCGTAGAATGAGCAATGCCTCTTTCCACAACAGTTTGATCAAGTTGGGCAACCACTCGTTGGGATGATTTCATACCCTAACCCGGTATGTATGATTGAAATATTTATCATTTATCGTCTTGATCTTCTCTATTTTCATTTGATCTAAGTTCTCTTTAATTTTTTTTTTTCCTTCAGATACTTACGGACATACCCGCTTTCGAAATAGATCTCAAACCTGTGCTGACACCACCTGACAAACCATACCCTGTTTTTCCGCCTCATCCGTCTCCTCCTACGGTTTGTATTCTATTGTTATTATTTAAAAAAAAATTTTTCTTTTCTTTGTCTAGATTTTTTAATCTTACCTTTATTTCTTTTTTTTTTAGCAATACTTAATCGATGACCGGATGTACGGATGTGTTGATAGATCTATGGTGTCAAATCATTCACACGTTGTTATGAACTCTACTGAAGAAGTGAAACAAGTTCCTTCACCTCCGACCTCGCCTCAACCCGTTTCGCAACCCCCCGCTGAGACGTCAAAAAAACTGGTACACAAGGAAGAGTGTAAACCTGAAAAAACTGAACCAATCGGAAAAAACGAAAAATCTGTTTCAACCGAAAAAGTCGATGAAGGATTGCCTATTACAATCAATCCGAAACAGAAAAATCGAATCCTTAAACGAAGAGTCGCTCGTGCAATATTCGAGAAACGTTACAACCTTCCTAAACAAAGAAAGGTGACGATACAAAATTTTTTTACTCTGCATTTCTTACATTTATTTATTTATTTTTTTATTTATTTATTTTTTTTTTTATTTATTTTTTTTTTATTTTATTTTTTATTTTCTTTTTTTTTAGCCGTATATTCACGAATCTCGTCACGTACACGCTATGCGCAGACCACGTGGCCCAGGAGGCCGTTTCTTGAACACCAACGATACCGTAAACGCAAAACGCCAAAGCTTTGATAATTTTAATCATTTTCCACGTGACCTTTCCGATTACTTTCACCCAAATACTCATTTCCTTATTCCGATTGGATCGAATCCCGTATCAGACGTGAATTCTTGGGGCGTAACCACTGAATTAACAAACCTTGAGAGTTCCGATACATGCCGTATGAATGTGTATTTTGACGGAACCAACGTCAGCGCCCCAACTTCAGGTGCCATTAGCCCCTTTGTCGCTTCACCGACGTCCGCAACATCTCCAATCCAAGTCCAGAATGTTTATGAGGCAAATCACATTAACAACGAATATAATTTACCTCAATCGCATATGTTGCAATTAAGTTATCCACCATCGTTCGCTACCAATACCATTGGTTGGAATTTCCACAACTAATCAAAAATCGTCGAATCAAAAATTTCTTTTTTTTTTTATGTAAATACTAGCAAATCTGATTTTCGAACAACCATTCATACATAAATCATCATTTCGTTTTTTTCTCATAGACAAAACAAAAACAAAAACAAAAAACAAAAAAAAAAATTGGCATTGTAAGTAAACTTGGCAAAACAAACAATCGGAGTTTTTTTTAAATGTAAATTTTTTTCCTTAAAGAAAATTCATATAGATTCTTAAAATTTATAGACTTTTATTCATACACACACAACATTACAACATTAAGCTTTAAATATGATAGAATTTTTTTTTATTTTAAAATCAAATCATGTAAATTTTTCCAAAAAAAAAAATCAAAATCTCTCATCATTTGGTTCCGCGTGTTACGTTTTTTTCTACCTTAATTGTTACCCTCATCTACCTTTTTTTTCTTTTTATCTTTCGGATTTGGTGCTTTTTTTCGTTTTTGGGTGCACACCTGAAACTAGAAACCTCCATTAATTCTTTTTCGATTCCGTTTTTTGTACATTTAATTTTTTTCATCTATGCATTTCGAAGTTATTATTATGAAACATGCATTTGTGCTATGCCTTCTTTTTTTAAAAAAAGTAATATCGATAATAAAATAAAAAGTATTAATAAAAAAAATAATAATACGTAATAAAATAATAACAATAATAATAAAATAATAAGACCATATAAAGTTAAATTCCTTGATTTTCATGATACGTATAAAAAATTACTAAATGAGTTATGGTCTAGGAAAATCACTTAAATATTTATTTTCACAATATTTTTTTGTTTGATGTTTTGAATAAATATTTACAAAATGAACTTGAAAGTAAAAATTTTATATCGATATGTAACGCAAGGACTATTTGTATATCATTTAAGATTTACATGTAAAAATGGGTAAGACCATAAGACCATTGGTATATAAACTCAAAACTGAGAAAAACCTGAGTAGAGAACAACAATATTGTTACAAAAAAATAATTTTTCGAGCTAAAGTGAAGGTTACTTGTATTCGGGTCAAGTTTTATTAGTAAACCATAACCTCCATCAAATTCGGCTTCAAAATCGGGACGGTTGCTTTTATTTGGGATGCTTTTAAAATCCTGGAACAACTGGAAAAATTGCCAATGACTGAATCGATAAATTGCCGAATCAGAATCAATAAGTTACCGAAATCAATAACTTATCAATTCGGTCATCTGTTATTCCAGGATTTATGACAAAACGTATAAATTTTTTGGTTATGAAATTCAATTAAATAAGATTTATATAACCTAATATATAAATTGTCAGCTGGTTTATCTATACGAAATTGCGTTAACCTGAAAATGTAATGGTGAAACTTAGTTTTAGACAATATCGGTATATATATACTTAAAATATCACATTCATTAATAATTCAGGTATTGCTTATGTACATTAAATATCAAATTTAATGATGTAAATGTATATAATGTATATATATGTATATGTAATAGTAATGATAAATTTTTTTCGCTTAAATTATAATAAGGTATATATCAATAAACACTTAAGGGCAGTTATATACATTAACAAATCTCATTTTAGTCGGGTAATTGTCTTTTATAACACAATATTATGCTATCCCCACCTCTAAAATGTGTCATTGCCCTAATATCCACAGATAATTGTTCAATAAAAAACTAATAAATGATTACAATTTAAATCTATATTTCTATTAAATAAGCCATAATTGTTCACCCAATATATATAATAATGTATATTCAGTTGGAATTTACTTTCTAACCTTATTTCGAACCGGTATCATTCCGCCTTTAGTGGGTTTAGTATACTTTCCGTTAACAGTAGGAATACTCAATGAGTTGTCATTAATGCTTGATTGTGTATTACTTGTTGATTCTTCAACATTTACTTTAGCTCTAGCGTCCATTTTTTCTTCAACCATTTTTACCAACAGATCGGAATATTTTTCTAAAAGATTTTGCGTGTATCCTTCGGGCAATTGCCGTATTTGTTGCGTTAATGGACTTGATGGTCGAGGAGACGGTGGTGGTGGCGGTGGTGTTAAGGACGACGACATCCTGAACGTGGTATCTGTCGATGTCACATTTTCGTGGTCACCACTAACTATACCGTACGAAGTCATAGATTCTATATCACCCTCATCACGGTATATATCTTGTCCGGGTTCAATAATTTCCGGCACAATGATTTGGCTTTTTGTAGACTCATTTACTTGATCATTTGTTTGCTCTTCATTTACTTTAAGACTCTTACTAATATCATCCATCATCCCACTTAAGCTCTCAGAAATCAATTTTGCTATACTTTCATTCTTTGAGGCAGATGAAGACACTTTTTTGTATGCTAAAAGAGTTCGTTCCAAAAGCACTGTCATGGTTAATACATCGTCCATAACGCAATCTTCATTTATTTGTTCTTCGCTTTGTCGATTGGTCACTATATTTAATAAATTCATCAAAATATTAATATTTTACAATAAATTTTTGAAATATATATATATATATTGTCGCGGCTGATGCCGAGATTGGCTGATTGAGATTTGGGGTCTTAATTTGAGTCTACTAAACCTACTAAAATCCACATATACTGTCTTATTAACAACTCTAACTATTAATCTTAACTCTAAAAAAAATGCTCCCTAAAAATTTTTAAAATTTCATCCCAAAATAAGACCAATTCTCAGTTTCAGCCGTGACATTTTTTTAAAAAGTTACCATTGACGTCGAGATCATTATAGTCTTTGTTATTTTGGTATCCATTAGATATCGAAATACCTAAATCATCAACTTTTAAATCATTTTCATTAACATATTGTTCATTGTCAGCATCATATTTATCAACAAATAGTGAAATATTTTCATTTTTGATTTCTTCCTTATTTTTATGATCAACCGAGCGTCTTAGGTTCATATCACTATTAGTTTCTTCAGTTGGCGTAGACGGAGATGATGGTGTTGAATAAATTATTGACTGTTGTGGCGATCTCTTATCAGATTCTTGCCCAACAGTAGAACCTTCCTTGACGCGAGATTCGCTTTCGCGATTCTCTATTTCCATAGACCTCTTTTCCAAAGCCTCTAAAGCTTCCGAAACACCACCTTCATCTTCACTTATGGATATTTCATGTTTACCTATAATTTTAGTTAATGCATCGATCAAACTATTACGGCCACTTGAATCATTGGATTGTCGTTGACTCCCTGTATAAAATTTCATGGTCAAACTTTGTCTCTTTTTTGTTTTATTGTCCAAAGTCGAATTATCCTCATTATACGCACTAGAGTTTTCAATATGTAAGAAATCCTCCAATTTTTGAGCATTTTCTTCAGCACTCTCCATACCATCATCATCTTCATTGCCATTTTCCAAGGCATTAGAATCAACATCATTATCTTTTTCGCTTCCAGATGATGACTTTGGACGATCAGCATCAAATTCCACTACTTTAATGCTTCCCACAAAACTACTCCGGCGTCCCTTAGATCCCGTACTTTCATTATCATCCATCCCTTCTTCATCTTGAGATTCGACATATATAGTCTCATTATCCTCATTACAAGAATCATCTGCAATGATTTCTTCTTCCGCAGGAGAAAATACATCATCATCATCATCATCATCATCAAGCGTTGGTGCAGAAAGAGCCGATGGTTGGGTCAATAGTAGTTTTTCATCAAATGATTTAGTATTATCAGTAGGTTTTAATTCATCTTTTTCCGACTCCATATTCAATAATGATTGTGTTGCATCCTGACGTAATTTGCTTTGCGATTTAGCTCTATTCAAAGGCTTTGGAATTGCAGGTAACTTTTTTTCTGCATTAAATGGATTATTGTATTCCTGTGTTGGGCTACTGACAAGAACATTTGAAACTATATTAGTGTTATTATTTAAAGCTTTATCTTTAAAGTGTTTTTCTTCTTCCTTTTCTTTAAAAGCCTTTTTTGCCCAACTAGGTAGACCAATTTTCCATGATTCTCTCCTTGCAGAATTTGGAGTAGTTGGAGTGTTGGGTGGTGTAGATATTCCAGGTGGTGGTGATGTAGCCATAGGAAGCTTACTGTGATCTAATGAAAATCTAGGTGTCAATTGAGTAGATTTCTGTTGTTGTGATCCATCATTTGCAAATGATACAGGTCTTTTAACTGTAAATTTTTTTGAATTTTCTTCATTTTGAGGTTCCATAGCGGATAAAGATGAATAAGATTTTTTTATTTTTAAACCATTTGTTACTCGACGAACAGAAAAACCAGGTTCTTGACCATTGGCATCATCATTTGATGATTGTTGAAGATCTGCCATAAGTGATTGTGGTCTTTGCGCTGGTAAGGTAGCTTTAGACTGAGTTGATGGTGGTGTTGACGATTGTGGAAGAAGATAATCCCTCATCAAGGGCGATGTCCTTTCAAGTGATCCACTGAGACCACTTCTATCTAGCCATTTTTGTCGCATTTTTGAAACCAATTCATCAGATATTTTCCACACAAAAATGCAACCGTCAGCAGAGGTTGAAATAACACGTTCACAATCAGAAGTAAATTTTACTCCAGTAATTAATTCAGAATGTCCAAGCACTTTGCCCAATATTGAACCATTAGTGAAATCGAAAAGACGAATACTTTTGTCTGATCCGCCAGTTACAGCATGTACGCCACCAGGGTCCAAAGAAATTCTAAGTAAACTTCCTTGGTCTGCAGTATTGACCTCCTCAGGTGTATCTGATTTGTATGAACGCACATTTTTACCTGTATCGATATGATAAACATTTAATCGACGTTCTCCTGATACAGTGGCGATGTATCGATTTGATATGTCAATGTCCATATCAAATACTGTTGCTCTTCCCGAAATATTATGATATGTCACATAACACGGGATATCACCAGACTAAATAAAAAAAGTGTAATGGACGATATGAATGATATGAATGATAAAATTTTAGTTTGTAATTCGCCTTTCCTAATTTAACTTGTTTTAATATTAACTTGTTTAATATTAATTTGGTTAATATTAACTTGTTTAAAATTAATTTCGTTGGTATCAACACCCATTACTGTTAAAAAAATTAACCTTATAATTAATTTCTATACACTAGCAATTTTTATCTTTTGTTATTCACTCCACTCACATATCAAACCAAATTATCTGATCCCATTAAGTTGATATCAACGAGAAGACTGTATTAAAAAAAGTCTGGCTTTAACCTACATTTTGTCGACTTCTGAATATGATACTCTTATCTGCACCACAACTAATCAACTTTCCGCCATCATTGGTGAATTTTATGGCAGTTATAGATGAAGAATGATCATCCAAAGTTTGAACCAATTTAAAGCCACTGTTGACATCAAAAACATGCAAGATTCTGTCGCGACTTGCAGTAGCAATTAAGTATGGAGCACCTAAAAAAAAAAAGAATGTATAAAAATCTAACAACGACGTTGCTCAAATTATAAATGCATAGGATTGATAAGAACCAATAATGATGCTATTTAGACTAAATTGCATCATACTCACCAGGCATACGTGTATCAGTAAATTCAATTGTCAGTATCTCTGCATCATGCGCTTCCTGGTACGTAATTTCCTTAAAAGTATTAAGATCGTGTACTCTAAATAAATTGTATAAAAAAAACTATTTAGTATATTTAGCAGTGAAAGCCCTTACTGATCATACATATAACATACCTTAAATTTCCACTTCGATCTCCAGATGCCATTAGTTTTCCATCAGGACTAATTTTTAGAGTACGGATACCTAATTCCACAGACGTAGAAGCAAGTTGTTCTGAAGAATCTGTTACATAAAAGATCTAATTAGTAAAGAATATTTAATTATCATTATGAATTTCCAAATTCTTTGAAGTACCAACCAGATTTTTCATTTTTTGCTTCCAAAGCACATGACCGATATTTGCCGTCCGGATCCACATAAACAATTTTCAAACACTCCTTACTATAAATGTTTTTTTTTAAGGTTGCGTTGTTGCTTCCCGCAGGAACAACGTTTGAACCGGTCGTGTTAACAGAACCGTCAAAATTCCAAAACCTGATAGTACTATCAGCGGAATAAGTGACGAAAGTATTTTCTGGAAACGTAGATGTACCATCTGCAGCATCGTGAGGTACCATCTAAAAACGGTAGGTCATTAATGAGACATATATAAGCTATTTGATAATACAATAATATATTAATCTAAGAATTATTTTAATTTACCTCTACACCCCAAATAGTATCACAATGGTATAGAAAACTTCTATACTTTCCAATTTTTTTTATATCTTTTATATCCCATATAAAAAGACTACGATCACTATAAATACAAGTAAGTTTTCCGGTTTCGGCATCAAATTTTATAGCTGTTGTATCTGGATATGTTTCATTAGGATCACCAGTACCATTATATGTTGATCCGGTCTGTAAGGTCAAATCCACACCCAGAGGGTGTGGTTTTGGTAAAGTACCCAAATAATTCAGGGTTATTGGCTCAAATAATCTAAAAGACGAAGGATAATTAGTATTATGTACTAGAAAGTTGGAAAGTATATAAATGTGTTTGTAATAAAATGGTCTACCTAATAATTCCATTTGAGCAGGCACATATGATATATTGCTGGCTCACATCGATAGAATAGGCGCTTTTGACCTTAATATAACATAATGAAAAGATATTTACGTTATAAATATTTATAAGTATTTTATAAGCACATATATTCTATTAAGAATAGGTATAATTATTTAAAGATTAAATATTGTATACCTGCAAATTAACCCATTTATCCATTAATCTACCTTCTGTAAACATACATAACAATCCATTTGAAGTTACAAAATAAGTGTGATCTGATTTCTGGCAACATGCAGCGTCAAGAAAATTATTGTCTCTTAAATCGCCCAGAATACCAGATCGCCCATCAAGTACTTGCGCAGTTTTTTGTATCGATTGACCCTATGTTGAAATTATTATTAAGATATTAACATATAATTAAATAATTAAAGTTAAGGTAAACATAACTTACCGCTGTCTTTTTTGGTAAATTTCCATTAGAATCAAAATACCAGAATTTTACATGCCTCAAGCCAGCAGTTACAAAAAATGAACCAGTCCTATTAAACGCTAAAGTGTGGACCTTGGTAGTGATTTTGTTACACGCGACTTTTGCACCAGTTTTCAAATTCCAAACATTTAGATAACCATCATGCTAATAATAATAATAAATGTATTAAAAAATAGATTCACGTGTAATTAAAAGGAAAGATAATTAACTCACTTGAAACCCCAAAGATACAACCCATTTCATATTTGGGGAAAATACTATTGCTAATACACCATATTTATGACCTTTAAGTTCATTAATTAAAGTCTTTGTTGATACATCCCATATTAATATACGAGGCTGATGACCAGTCTGATGATAAAAATGATAAAGTTAAAATATCAAGACATTAAATTAAATAAATTAATCTATATTAATCTATAATCAATGAATCGATAATCAACGAATCGAATTTTTACTAAATGTTTACCTCACCAACAGCTAAGAAATTACCGTCAGGAGAAAAAGCAAGACATGATACAGGTTTTGCCTTATTGCTCACAGCGGGTTTCTTAGAAGAATTTCCATTAGCATTCGTACCCGGAGGTTCCAGTAACCCCAAGGAGCTCAAAGGATTCGTTATAGTATCGCCAACAATAGTATGTCGATTAGGAAAAGCCGAAGACCAACTTGAAGACGAAGGATTTGTAGGAGTTTGAGGCGGAGCAGAAGACACCGCTGAAGACGCGTGTAAAAAGCCAACTTGTTTGTTTTTCTTGTGATTATATAATACAACGACAGAGCCAGCTGCATAAGCTACAAGATCATGTGCAGATGCAGTTGATATTGCAGTTGGTTTTGAAGTTGTTAATCCAAGGATGCGCTCAAGTTCAATCTAAGTTAAAAAAAAAAGCAAAAAACAAAACCATCCACATAGTCAATAATCACATCTGCAATTCTGTATTATGTATGCGCAACCGGTGGACAATATCTAGTAATTATTTTACACATATATAATTCTGGATTTGTTCTCTCAAAAGACCTAACTAGCTCATATCTGTTATTGTTTTTTTTTTTTTTTTTTTGATAATTCAATAATATTGGCTTATGAATAATAATTACTTATGTGTATATACAAACATATATACGCATTTACGCATGACCAGAGGGAGCAAACAACATAATAGTATTTAACGAGTTATTAAATAGAGAATTGATGAATTTGGATAAAATTTAAATAATACTAACGGCAGGAGTTATATTTTCGCCTTTCTTTTTTCGACGGAGCCCACCGTTTTTTGATGGATAAACAGCAACGGTAGCGGGTCTTGAAGATCTTGGTGCAAACATTATTTACAAGCTTTCTTATGATTTCGTTTCAGAGTTTGATTATTAAAGACTTGAGCAACGCTCTGTCACAATAATATTTTTATTATACGTAATATATCAATTATTGACATATGGTATATTCCCTCCTATAATCTGTGAGGACAAACTGATAGTTGTAAGACGACTTTGTCTCAATCGTGAATTTTGCCGAGGTTATCTCTTTGCTACTACAGATATTGAAAATTCATGAATGCAGATAGATATTCGTAATTGTTACTTAACAGAATATTAATAGAATATTAACAAAATATTAATTTTAACTTATTTTGTATACCTTAGTAAAGAAATAATGAAAATTACGCGACGCGCCAAATGTTCGAAAAAAAAGGATTGATCTTACTATGTGAAACAACAGTTGAAACAACAGTCACCTCGAATTGGGAAATAACAAACAAAACTAACCTTAAAATGAACAAACAAAAGGCCAACCTCAAATTGCACGTTAAAAAAAGAAAAATCACAACCAAAGTCCAACGCCGAATAAGTTGGAAATCAAGGAAACAACGGGGAAAAGAGTAAATATAGGAAAAAGAAAAATAAAAGAGTGACGATATTAAAAGCTGGCGTTCGATTTTATGTATTATTCTGTATTTGTACAGGATTAGAAACTCGTCAAGTCTTGAAATGGGAAGAATTTCATCAACAGTAACAGTAAAGGATTGTTATATAAAAGTGGCTGGAGATCTTTCTGATCTCTTTTGGGTTTAAAAAAAAAAAATTACTTATCGTTATGCACGAACGACGCTGTGTCACTTAATTTTAGATGCCTTACAGTCTTACGAAATGAACAATAGTGATGGACCTTAATGAATACACAACAACCCACGCGTATAACACAATTCATATTGCGAGAGCAAATTCTCATAATAATCGGACTGGCAATGCTTAGAATGCATAGAATGCAAGATACGTGCAACCTTCAAGGGTTCTATCCTTGCTCCAATCTTTGCAAACTAACATTAAAAATTTACATCTGTTTTGTGCACAAATAATTTAAAAACATTGTTTTAAAATATTTGTTACTGTTCAAGTTATTATAAAAACCTTATTTATTGCATAAAATCCCTGTGTCGAAAATCAACTGATATTCGTATGCCTGTCGTGACTTATTTAAATTTATGTAAATACCAGTTGTAGGCAAGGTCAAGTTGTACAAAGAATTCTTGTTTTTGATGATTAAACCAATTGTCAATTAGCTTCAAATAAAAATATATAACAAATAGTTACCAATGATGTCTAATGATGTGAATTTCATATATATCTATTAATTAAATTAAATATCAGCAATGAACAACAGCAAACGGCCGCTCGATTTTTTTATTAAGACAGAATCATGTGTCAGAGCTATCATATATGGCTTATTAGCTTATAAATGTAAAGAGATTCATAGATAGGATAGGTAGAAAGGCTTATAATAACTACAAAAATACATATAATGACTACAAGAATACTTGCCCACACGTATCAATCGATAGTGTTTATCTTCCAAAATTCGATGTGTGGATATTTTCACATGCGTTTCGTACGTTGCATATTATTTCGTTTCAAACACGGTGGATCTTAAATTAGATATATTACTTACATATTCTTAAAAATCTGATTTATAATAGATACATAGGCGACGTTCTTGTATATCGTTTCTCGATTTGATTGGATAATCTTGAAATTTATTTACTTAGATTACAAAAATTAGGTGTAATTTAAACTTTTATCAAATAATTGATTAAATAATTTATTTGTGTTATTATGTAAAAGTTTTCATTATATAATATACAATAAATACACTGCAGTATTATAGTCTAAATTATACAATATTTTGAAAAATATCATATTATATATTACATATTATATAAAATAGTATATATTATACTAGTTTAATAGGAACTATTGTGAGTCCGAAGCCTACTATTGTAAGTTCGATGCCTAACTTATTATAATAATTAGTTAACTATAAGAAAGTATAAAATGGTAACGTTAAAATCGCTGCAATAAGAATAATATTACTCAACATGTGGACCGCAACAACCAATCACAATGAAGTCACGTGGCGGACAGACGGTCATTTTTCTTTTACATGTAGGTCCTCGCTATGTTTCGGGCAATAATATATATATACTATATATAGTCGTTCTTTTTTACAATTATAGTTGAGCACATAGAAAATTTTTTTCAAAATATGCTTATAAATCATAGTTTGACCTATATATAAATATAATTATATATGATATAATTATATAAAAAGTGATTATCTGAAGGACACTACAGACGGAGCAATGGTATACCTAATGTCTGTGTGTTAGCAAATTATAAATTTTGATTGGCCAACATAAACAAAAATCTTATATATTTTGAATAATTTTATTTTTCTAATTATATAAAAAAATAGTTATTTACTAGAACAAAAACTGTTGTAAGTTTGAAGCAATTATCTTTTTTCTTATTAAACTAGTCTTTTTGGGGTTGGAGTTTTTTATTCAGTATTATAGAACATAAGAACTTATAATCAAAGCCTCAACAAAGCTATTTTTATATTAAAGAATACAATTAGTTATATATGCATTTTTGATATTTAATTTAAATAGTTTATTAGAGGTATGATGACTTAGTAAAGTGGATAAGTTGTCAACCTTCCAAGTAGTAAGTTGGAAGTTCAAAACTTAATAATAGTGAAAATTTGAAAAACCATCTATGTTATATTAGTATTATAGAAAGTAAGTGATATTATAGCAACAGTATTCTGTCGATCAGTTAAGATTAGATACTTGTAATATAGTCACATCAGCATGATTAGCAAGTTATAAGACATCTGTGCAATGTTGGAATTATATAGAGAAATGCAAACCAGTATTAGTTAGTACAAACCTAAGATAAGTTATTATGATTGTATAAATTTGTAAACTGAGAAACCAGAGTCTACTTGGAAAAGACCTAAGTAAAGAGATAACACAGATCTTTAACAGTATCACTGTAAAGACTAAATCTAGAAAATGAATACTAATATGAAAGGCATCAAATAGACAAGAACTTCAGATAAAAAGTACTATTAACTAGATTGTCAGAAGTCTTGAACTAGAGAAAAAAGATCTTGAAAGAATAGACCTTCAGGGTACCAGAGACAGAACATAGTTCTTTTGAGCTATCTGAATTAGAAATCTGGGGTCTAAAGCAAGAATAAGTCTTATTAGTAAAAATTAAATATGAGTAGTTAGTTAGCAAAAAGGCTTTTTAAAGCCTGACAGTCAGATAATATACTCTGAAATGTATAATAACTTAACAGACATACAGACAAAGAGGTAAAGGTTAGGTTAGACAGCACCTAATTAGATATACAGAAGTTTGTATGCTATCTGCTAGTGTAATATAGGGGTAACCTTATACAAGTTATATAATTATAATTGAATTTACAATAAAGGCAGTAGCTACTGATAACTAACAGCCTTAGCAAAGCAAAAAAAAAAAAAATTTAAATAGTTTATTTATAGTTTTATACTAATTATTATACTTGTAATTCAATTATAAATATTGTCTATTTAAATATTTTGTATTGCAATTTATATTATATTATTAAAATATTTCTAATATATATATTAAATTATACAAATTTAATATCTTGGGTTTCATAATATAAAACTTTTAATCAAACCCAGCTGACTAGCTTTTTTTTTAATTTTTCATATATAAATTTTATAAAAATTTTTTTAAAAACCCATCTAATTATTAAAATATACAAAAAAATTTTTTTATAAACTTTTAAATTTTAATTTAGCCAAATTATGAAAACCAATTAATTAATTTTGTATGACCTTAGTTAAGAAGTTCTAAATACTTATTTGAATCTTTAAAATATTTATTTTGTTGGTTTTTTTTTTATAATATTAATAATAAAATTATATTCTTATCTTTATTGAATATTTAATTGAAATTTTAATTTAATTTATTTTTTTTAAGTTAAAGTTCTTGCCTTTAAGGATTGATGTTTTTATTCAAGTATTTAAACATGAGTGCCTTCAAGAGTTTCTTTATATTGAAAGTTACAACTAGTGACACATGCATTTTTGATACTTAATTTAAGTAGTATATCTATATATTATTATACAAGTTCTATACTAAATGTCATATCTGCAAACCAACTATAGGTCTTGTCTATTTAAACTCTTTATATATATAGTCTAATATGTTTTACAGTAATATATTTTTTTTTCTGCATCTAAGCACTCTTTATTTATTTATTAAATGTTATAATACATATTTACAGTAGAGATTTAATATGTTTTAAAATATTGTGAGTTCTAGCTTTTTTGCTAGAGTACTATTGCTCACTATTTTGTACATGAGGTTGATTTTATATTTTAACTTGTGTTTCATTATATTTGTAATTGCTTCTTGTGACACCACTTTATTTTCTCATCTGGCATAAATATATCAACACCAGATTTCATACATTACTGTTATATGTAGTCACGTTATGGCTTCTTGAAGTTTCTTGTTTTTTATATTAGTCATCTGAAGGATATTCTCAATTGAAAAGTAAGTCAGTTTGTTTTTATAAAATTTAAGATACTTGTAGGCTGTTTTCCATATCTTTTTGCTTATTAGATATTTGAGAACAAAGTGTTCAATTGTTTGGGTTTTATAAGGACAGTTTAGACAATCTTCTAGGTTTTTTTAGTTGAAATATACTAAGCAGTAGCCTAGTAGAAGAGCTCTGTATGCTAGCTTCCAAAAGATGTCTTTTTTCTTGTTTAGAATATATTTTGTTTTTATTTATTTGAATTCTAATAGCTTTGTTTCTGGGTTTGTTCTATTGTTGTTCAGTCTTATATCTTTATAGTATATAGTTAGTGCTTTTTTGACTATAAATTAGTAACTATTTAGTAAACATATTTCAAAATTTTCAGATGACTATGGCTATGTTGTGTTTGTTTTGATTTTTTTTTAAATCTATTTCAGACTGTTATATAAGATTTCTATTTTTCTGACTATTCTTTTAGTTTACAGGAAGATTGCTGTAAAATCTTAGTTATTGTTTTTTTTCTTTTAATCTGCAATGCTAATGCAATTTGTGTTCTTTCTGTTCTGGCCCAAAAAAAGCTGCTTGATAAGAGTTTTGTTCATATTGTAAGCAGTCTTGCATCTAGCATGTCCTTAAGTATAGGAGCAGTCAGACCACCTTGTTCATAACTAAGTTAGAATGTTGAGTATTTTGGCAGCATTTTGGAGTTTTTCTTAATCCAGTTGGATATTAGTGCATTAATTTCATTTAGTTGTTTTCTTGTTGATGACAGCAGGTAGGCAAGGTACTATATTTTTGAAATAAAAAGGATTTTTGCTACTAAAATTTTTTCTTTAAGTAATAGATTTCTTTGTAACAGAACTTGTATCTTATTCTTTAAATTTTTTTTTATATTAGACTAAAGAAGGCTGTTTGACTTTCTTTTCATATTAATTTCATAGTCCAAAATAGTAATGCTACTTTGTTCTTCACTAGTTGTTTTATATTTAGCTTGGTTTGTTAGCTTGATTCTGTGAGCATTTGAGATAATCAGAATGAGTATTGATTTAGTTTTGTCAACTTTGGCATTTGATGCTTTTTCATAACAGGATACTATTTTCTGTATTTTGGCCCAATCTGAAAGGGATCCAACTCCTATTAATATATCATTTGCATAGGCAACTATTTTGAATGCTATGTTGTTAATAGGAATGCC